CACCACTGGCCGGTGCGCCGCCCTCGCTGCGTCTGCAACGCGACCACACCAACCTGCGCTACCGCACACGTCCGCACTCCAGGAATTCCAGGAGTTAGTCATTTCTAATACTCACTTTAGCTGACACAGATTCTAGTATACCTAGCTCTAGTTTTCGATAATTTTTCAATGGTAGGCCCAAATGAAGTATCATGGTCTCACAGGCGTAGAAGAAGGTATCAAGCAGTACCAAGCGTAGGGTTGTGATAATTCCAATTTGTTACATAATATAAATAGGTACCAATGACCCAAACCAATTGACTTTCTATTACTTACCCTTTTTTATCCACTTCCTTTCACAAAAAGTTGAGCAAATATGATAAATGAATGAATGTTGGCTATTGGTATGTTTAAGAACTATCACTTTGTGTAATTCAAGATATTTTTAACATATCTAGATGGAGCAACTGGCAAGCCGAAGGTGATCCACGCGCTGCGTCGTGGGGCAACCGTCATCAAAGCCTCCATGCCGAAGATCCGAGACGTCAACGTCATTGACACTTACTCTAGAGTCATCTTTCCCATCTGCTTCCTTATATTTAACACTGTCTACTGGGTATTTTATATCTTCGATTAATTAATTTTCCTTTTTTAATTTAATGTGAGTAAGTAAAAATTATGGCTTAGAGCATGCGGACACCTGAAACTAAACTATCGCACAACTTTTTAGTCTTGTTTTGATTCCTATGAGCTTAGCACCCCATGGGTACGCACACTACTCGATTTTTAGTTGTGCAACTAAAGTTGAATTGGCTGCGAAACAATCGACAATCGCACATCAGTTGTGCGACTGTTTAGTCAAAGGTGTGCGCCCGCTCTTATTGGGACAACAAGACGATACACTAGCTTGTAAGTAGTAAAACAATATTTGTATTAAAAAAAATACAATAATGATACTAAACTAACTTCTTGCATCTTTTAGTATACCATGATATAAGAGAACAAATTATTTATTAAATGAGGTCAATAATTGCAGATAATGGTGGTATTGGAACATCAATAGAAATTGTCTTTTTTAATGTGCCAAATAAAATTAACATGTAGCATAATTTAATTAGTTTTGTAAATATAAATGATTCTAATGTTAATAAAGTATTATTCTAAGTAGCTCTTCCCGAGTAGTTATGTGCCAATTTTTTTATTTCGCCAAATATATCGCTCGTTATTTAGAAGTTTTAATAAAAGCCATATACTTAGTTAAATGTTAAGTTTAAATATTTCTAATACTGCCAAAGAATTAAATCGCTTTATTGTTGTTAATAGTAATTAAAAAGTTATCTATTGTACAATATATGTTTATAGAATACACATCAAAAATAATTATTGTAACTTCCTAGACATACGGTGATGGGTATGTGAGATTTTATCTCTTTACGGGATAGTACGACAATTTGCGAGAAAAAATTCGCAACTTCGTCAACCGGTTGGGATCAAAACTATTGATTTCTTATTTTTTTCTTAGTGGGCGTATCTATAAAATTCTTAAACTACATAACTAAATTCATAAAATTGTAAAGGACCTATTAAACAAAGTTATTACATTGCAATTTAAATGCGTTACTTATTGTAGAGACTATAATTGTAACTTAAGAAGTAAAATAATTAAGTATGTAGAGGTCATAAAATGTAAAATGTTTCATTGTTAATATTCATGTCCAGTATTTAGTTAAAATTATCAATATTTCAATTTATGGGAGCCAAAGTTACTATAAATTTAAGTTATAAAAATAAATAAAACCGTAAAAGAGTGTTTTGTTTATTTATCGTTCAGTAGTTTTTAACTTTGAAGAATGATGGAAAAGAGGAAAAGTAACGCAAAAATCTATTAATGGCACCTTCTATGTTCTTATAATTTTCGTACGTCCAAAAATACGAATGTTTAAAGCCTTTAAACTTCCGTAGCGACATCTCTACGTAGATAAGAGAACTAGAACAGTGTAGAGACGCGTAGAGCTCCGTAGAGCTCCGACCTGAACAACCTTCAACAAGGTATCGATGTTTTTGAAAATAATACGGGATGTCGTTGATCTCAAATTGTCTATTTTCATCGTTCTTAACAACCTTTAACCAGAATTTTCTATTAGTCTTTCTACGATTCTATGAATTGGTTTTTTACTTTAATTCGGCCAATTTGTATAATCTTAATATAACTGTTTCTTTTAATCGTTCGTAAAATATTTTTAGTTCATCTACTCAGATTTAGTTTATTTTTAACACTCGTGTAATTAAATAATTTCATCAAGATTTTTATTGGTTGATTAAGTAATTGACTACATCTTTATCGTTTAAACATATTTACCGAAATCTAGAATTTTAATAACATTAAATAAATCTACTCTGGATTCTTTGGAATCACAGAAATAAAAAAAAAATGTAACCGAAGCGTTTGACCTTTATGCTGGCAGTGAAAAAAGTGAATAACATATTGTTAGGTATGTTTTATATGTAAAATTTATACCACTATATTTATAAGCACTTCATCTATTTCTATCGAGTGTTATTCCGAGTAGCTGATACAAATGTAGGCGAGTTAAGGTTAGAGATGTAGAGGGGTGGGAGGTCTCCATTCATCGGCGACAGACTGCGCGGGGCTGGTGCGGGGCTTGCGCGCGGCGGGGGGAACAGGGAGCCTTCCAGATTACCTAGTACCCAGCCGAGCGGCCGAGGAGGACACATCTCGCGGGCTCTCGCGAATAAAATATTAAAAAGATTTTAATATAAAGTATAAAATTACATTTATTAACTGTGTGACTTTTAAACAGACTTGATTAAATTGTGATTGTGATTGTCAGTGTGAGTAAAAATGAAATTGAAAAATTAAGGTATATTTTTTACATTACTTATTGATATAAATGTTTTATTTTAATGTTAAATAATCAATATTGAAATGACCAAGTAAAATAACTCAATGGATCGATTTAATATTTAATTGTTGTGGAAAAAATCTAAAATTGGAAGTTTCAAAATCATTCAACGTATACTGTTAATGGTTAAGTTACGACATAAGTCGTGATTTTCTTTCAACATTTTCCTGTTGACGTCGTAGAAAATATAGTTGGCAGAGACGTGGGCGGCAGCGGTGTTAGGTTTCGGTGTTTCATGAGCGCAGGGCGGGCGGGGGCGAGAGGGTGCGCGGGGGCGGGCGTAGGCGATCGCGCACGTCTCC